ACCACATGGCTACAAAACGACTGATTTATTATTACAACCCGCCTTATGACGTTTTCGTATGTCCTGACCGGTTGCGCCGACTACTAAATGCTACGAATGAAGGACCCTATAAACTTCTTTGTCATAAACCTCTGTACCATACCACTAATAAGAACGAGACTTGTGATTGCATTGTCACTGAACGGCTAAAATCCGCCAACGTACAGAGGAACCACCCTTGTGTTAACTTTGACACAAATCAATCGGACGAGTCAATCCTCTGGACCGAAATCCTATCCCTAAAGCTGACGATTAAGATGAAGCTTTTCCGGTATTAGATAACTAGTCTAGAATGTTGCGCTCTGGAATAGCCATAAAGTTTCCAAAACACTTGTGTTTACATATATGTATTTTTTGGAAGACAGATCAATTTTTAATATCCTTATAAATAGGCATAGTTTACTTTTTCTAAAAATACCCAATAAAACTTTTGTCTGTGTAATCGTTTCACTGTCTTATAGTATGTATAAGCATATATACTGGGTTCTCGTTCTCACGCTTTGGTTGCCGAAGTAATTACGAGTGTAGTTTGACATGAACTTACTTTTTCATTTCTCCCTTTTCCGGGACTACTGGAAAAGATTGAAAACCGAAGACGAACATGATGAATCGAACCCTTCGTCCCACATTTCTATCATTATTAGGTACCAACTAGCTCCTCAGGGCGTAAAACGCAACTTGAAGCCGCTGGGTATAGTAAGCGAACGGTACAGTGTTTGTCGGTGGCAAGCCCATTGGATCTGAACTTCTGACTAGTCATATCTTAGAGTCATCATTACTCCACGAGGGAGATTGTGCTGTAGCACTTAATGAATCCCCAAAATAAATGGTTCCTTTAGTCTTCAACATTGATGTTGGCTTCATTGGCTATACTGGGATGACACACCAATACATCAGGCCACAATTAGTTACACCATGCTACTCAACCACAATGACAACTAGTCAGCTTGGATTATATACTTCTTGATATACCAACTACCTTGCAATTATTTCTTCAAACTTGTTCGTCCCTGACTTCTATTTTAAGACGTTTTATTATAGAGTTGTAACAGACAAAGGCTTCGTCAAACGTTGAATATGAGTAATATCTTTGGACGAAACATGATTCTCGTTTTGGTGAAAATGTGATCGACAGCGTAATAAAATGTTGTAAAGCAGTATAGAAAGGCATATTAAATATTTTTTTCTTAGAAATACTACATTATAGAGACACGTATCTCGCCATGGTAAATGCTTTTATTGTGACAAAACGCATGAAATTCGTCTATAGGCCTGCTGTTTACTTCACCACCGGTGATGATCAACGTTTTGATTCTCGGGTAAGGGAGGAAACTAACTAATAATCACACATCATTCGTATTTACGACTTTGAAAAACTCACTTCAAATGTAACTTGTCTTCATTTCTGACACTAATAGCAGCAGATCTATCACTTCATTTAAAAGGTCTAAGTCATCAGATTACAGTTCTTTGAAGGAAACCGATAAATACTCTACTTCTAGCATCACTGGTCTTGAACTTGCTTCATTATAAAATTTCCATTTTAAATTAAAACCCATTAAATCCCGGTTGTTGATATTGAACCATCTATCCTAAGGCTATCTAAGAATGCTTGAAGCCTAACATTTTTAGTAAACGCTGAGGAGAGTTACGAATAACGACTTAAAACTTAAGTAACTGCCAAATCAGGGTGTATAAATATGCCAACAACTCCAAAACTTCCTATACTAATATTCAGGTAGAAAATCCCATGACTTTAAAAACTGGGAATGTAGTAGACCAATGTTTTCACTGCTGAAGTTCGAAACCTCGTTTAAAAGAAAGAATAACGAAACTGCTAGAAGAGCAAATTTTCATTCGGAAACGGACAATTTGAAGTCTGCCGATGCTACACATTGTCAAAGAAGTGATCTTTGACAAACTCCGAGGCATCAAATGAAGAATTTGACTACTATTAACCACTGGTAATCTATCAACAAAAATGCTGGTTCGAACTCGCCAAATATATTTACTCAGTAGCCGTTTGTTATTGTTGCTGGAACATAAACGTTAAGGAAGCTTATCAGATCTAAGGTTCCAAGAACACACTTCAAGACTTTTGGAAAAGTAAATTTCCAGATTGATCCAGATACCCTAGTAAAACTATTAATTTGAAAGTGGTTTTTGATTTAGTCAAAGAATGTGGACGTGTAACTTTGGGGACTAATATACAAAGAGTTATTATGTCTAATTTAATTGCACTGTTGACAAACGCCAAGATTTTTACACTTTTCTATTTACTTATTCTTAGGCTTTCACTCGACCCATATGTCATTATCATATGTCCGATCATCCCAGATCTATCATTAGTTAACTATTTCTACAGTATTAGAATTATACAATAATTGTGGTCAAACTGTATAGCTAATCTGGTTTCTATTCTTTCCTTCAGCTTAGGCGTTGGTTCGAAAAAGCTTGAGAATCAATGAGCTTAGTAAAAACCAATGTCAATGATAAGGCCTTGTTTCAGTTTAATATCATCAGTAAATGTATTCTCAACCCTAAAATAACCTTCATTTACGAGCTTTATGTTGGCACGTTAAAGCTAAGCCACATCATTATAACAATAATGGGCAAACTGGTTAGTAAAACTTTATTTCAAACAAGTGGTGATGAATAAATCTGAATTTATGGTCGTCATAAAAAGTACAACCTATCGGTAAGCATCTTTGCTTCCTGTGATGAAAGCACGAATTGTTGGTCCCATATCATTAGTTCACCTATTAAAGTGAGATGTGAGTAGCTTAGACGAGTTGCAATACGTAAGAAGACTATAGTATTCGGCAAAGATCCACTCCAAAACCGTTGCCCTTAGATGGGACTATTACCCTCAGACATCAAGTACGAGAGGTAGCTTCAACAAGGATTACTACCTAATAAGTCACATAGCTTTTTCCACCAAAATAGTCTTTCCTGAAAGTCATTGTAGAGACCAACCTAGCAACCTTGGAGAAAATATTGGAAAAAGACATAACTCTCATATAAAATCTCGAATTGTTTGCAGTGTGTGTACTTTTTGGTTGTGATCCCCCTAAAGTGTCGTGGACATAAGGTCTTTCGTAGTCGGCTGTAAGGGATGCTCGAACTCCACCCTTCTAGCTCCAACAATGTGTCAATGAACGAGATAGACAATATTCCGTTTAAAGATTTGATCCGTTCTATATCAAAGGCTATTTCATGGTCCCCTATCACTACTTTATTCTACTTACAAACCACTCATAACCGTTTTTTCCAGTCTCTTTTCTTCCATCATTCTTTTAAATCTCAAAAAACCCACTACTAGTATGAGCATCAAAATAACTTCGAGGTGGTATGACAAAAGTCCTGTTACTTTAGAGAAGATAGTTATCCATATTTAGGTAATAAATGGCTGACAAATTCACCTAGGACATTACAACCCCACCGATACGATAACCTCAGTGAATGTTGTTACCCATTTAGAACCTATCCCTAACATCAAGGTATGAGCCTGAACGAATCAAACGACTCATCATTATTCTTTGGCCTCTTTTACTACTGGTAAGTAAAGGACAGATGACTCTCCAACTGAGAAATGGTTATAGTCACACTAGCATAATGTAGAAACAGTGGGCCAGAAGCTGCAGACTGCAGATCGACTTCCATGCTGTCAGCAGCAGCGAGAGTGGAAACAATTATCAATAAATACCTCCGAAATTACCTACTCAGTAAATCTATACTATCTGGTTCTCAACATACAAATTTTTCGATTACCTGTAAAAGCCGGAACACAGGGCTCTTAGATTTCTCCAAGTCGTTCGATAGGCTTCACTAAAGGACTCGTTAAGTAACATTGAAATTAACGGACATCGGTAGATGTCTAGTCAAATTGTTTCTGGATTATTAAAAGATCCGACTTTTGAATGATCAGTAGTCCTTTAAGGCTCAGTCCTCGAATATACTTCTATTCTTCCTATTTATTAACACCCTAATTTCTATTCTAGATTCATAACCGCCTCTACGTTCAAATGGCCTAAAGGTAAAAAACGATCAGATCTTGGTGATACTTAGCTGCTACAAGAAAACTAGATGCGTGCAAATACAGAGTGATAATAATGAACAAAAGTGATGCTCTATCTATCTCATAATTCCTTCAGCGATACGAGTATCATACTTCCTATGGAAGAAGGAGACATTGACAGCACTTCATGTGAAATTATGGACGTTTCTTCTCACTGACACTCTGTAGGTAACAAAACATGCTATCTTACGGCTTCTTTCCAAAACATTAGGCAGCCAGACTGAGAAATTACTTGGTATCTTTATCACTGAATGATAATAACCCCATCTAGAGAGAAGCTCCTACTTTAGGTCTTAATACTTTGTTAAAGTCGTCAATGCTTTAAAACGACTTCAAGAAAGGTAACAAAAATTATAATCAGTTTGAAAAATAAACAACATTCAGCTCAGCTGGGAGAACTAAATTTATTACGAATGCATTACGAACGAATTATGGGAATACGATCAAAATACATTTCACTACCCAAAATCATTTTCAAGGTAAAAAGTGGCAAGTAAACTCCTATACTTAACTACACTTTTGAGAAAACCAATTTCAGATTGAGCACAAATGAACTTTCATGAATTTCGATTCAAAGTATTTCTTGGTTTGAGTAGTTAAACTGCGGAACTCTCCACCAAAGCAGATAGCAACAAAACTCCCCACAGAGTCTTTTAGGAGAAGATAATACGTTTATTTCATTTAAATACGCAATGATGGGAATTACAAAAGGCGTTACTATTCAGATATCCCTGATATTATTAACCGACATTTTTGCCTTTTATTACTTTATTTAGAACATTATTAATCAAGAAAGCTGTCCTATTGCTCAGAAGAAGAGTCTGAGAACCAAATATTTCCCTAATCCTATATACAAACTTTGGGTTTGACAGTATTGGATACTGCAGTTGGCGCTAGCTAAGAGTATGTGCGTTACTTAGTTCATAAGGTTAGTTGTCTTCGTAGTTGAAGTTCGTCTGTTTGCTATAATAGGGCATCATACTTGACAGTAATGACAAACAAAATCCTACACAATTTTATGTGCATTAATGGTATTCTCACACATGCACATTACTTATAGGTCATGTTTCAAAGGGAAAGTATACATTGTGCCCCGTTCCATTCAAAATAAGTGTGATTTCGTAACAAAATTTATCTACATCTGAAAAACGTTTACCAATATTTCTCAAAATTTTTGGGAAGGCCATTGGGCTTTTTGGAAAACCCCAAATTTGCCCAGAATAGGGAGACGGAGAGTGACGTGCATTGTGTTCACTTATTGTAAAGGCAAGACAGACCTAGGTTTAGTATCATATAAATGTAAGTGGTTGCAAACCGATTAGCTATAATTGTATCAGGTAAGAAGTACGCACCATTTCTTTTATTTCAAGTGTCTCCCTTGTCAAACGGATGTTTTAATTGGGATGGTCAGGAGTGACAAATTTGCCGCGTGTATAGGTTTTGTCTGACATGTTTCCTTGCGTCTTTGAGCATGTAGAAATAGCTCTAGACCTGTGGCTACGCTGCATATATGATCTCTCTGAATTATGACAGTAGTATGTCAGGCGAGACTATAATTTATGTACGAACCAATCACATTTACGATAATAGGTCTCGAATTTTGGTGTGAAATATATTCACCAATTTGTCTAAATATCATTTAGGCATTTTAGCGGCGAGACTCTAATTTAGCGACGACCTTTGAACGAATCTTAAATGACCTTGACAATTATTAGCCAATCAGAAGACAGTTAGGTTAAAGTAAAAATATATTATAAAAAACTAATGAATTACAGTGGGTATTCTTCTTTACATGAGTTAAAAAGTTGTTAAGGTTCGATAAAGGTTCAGAAGTCCTGAAATCGTAATGCATGCGGTAAAGAAACTCGTCCATGTGGCTCCATAACAGTCGTCCTCTAGAGCCGTGGTATGGTCTTAAAAATTCCTTTAGTCTGGACCACATAGCTTCAATATTGTTTGTGTGAACTCCTGTCGTCGGGTCGACAAAATGGCGTTTGTGCACTACAACACGATGCACAAACCCAAGTCTCTCGAGGCATCTGTAGGCTCTCCAATCATCCGTATAGATCGTCGTGCCAGGCTGGACGTATTCTTTTATTATTGGTATTATTGTCCTTGCTTGACGGTTCCTCACTTTTTGTAAATGTCCCTTTTGAGTAGAACGATCATAAAATCCAAGTACCTGTCAAGTATATTTACGGAAGTACTACTTACCCAATCTTCCTTAATAGAACGTCCTTTGTTGTATTTTCTCTTTCTAACTACTGTCTCGTCTATTTCCACTATCCTTCCAACTCCTCCAAATGTTTCATGTACTTGTGTCATTTTGGTCGCGCATATGTCGCGGCAGTACTCATACCACTGGACCGCTGAAGTTTCAGTAACGTCTGCAAACGCGGCAGCCAGTGTTACTGGTGTTCTTATTACCCAATTCGCCACTATTATCATGATTTGTCTAAGTCTCAGCCGTGATCGAGCAAAAAAAGTTCCCGTTCGGGCAGACTTTTTCTTCCAACATGCAGAACAACGAAGCATTATTTCTTCATGGTGGTCTCCAGACTTTGCTGCAGTCATTTGATGACCGCAGTCACACGTACATGAACTTCTCAATAGTCCCTTCTGTTGTAACCTCTCAATAATCACATCTTCTGTAAAATCCGCTGTGAAACGATCGTATGTCAGCATCGGGTGTTGAACTTGCCTCCGTGACCTTGAAATTGCTTGAACGCTTCTGATTGGTTCGTCGCTAAATTAGAGTCTCGCCCCTTATTTCTCACATTTATTATTTATTTATTTATTTTAACACATAGATATTGGTACAAGAAGGCACCAAATACATATGCCCCACACAGATCTCGTTTGATATGTGTGAGGGCTGTGATATTGCCCGCGTGCCCAAACCGAAGCAGGTGGTTTTCTTAAGGGGCCACACCCCCAGCCTTTAACCTGAGGGTCTTATCCACAAGGCAGTGGAGCATCGTAAGGAGATGCAGTCCCATGGTAGTCGGTGACCAACAATTGGTTTATACGCCATTTGTTCCCTCAGGATCCTGGAGCCCATGTACACCATTGGTTTGGAATCAGGGTTTTCCAACTCCCCTAGGCGGATCTTCTATATCCACCAACCCGGTTAAAGCGCCGGACATTCGCTTTTCGTCCTCTCAATTTCGTAACCAACACCTCCGCCACGAGAAGGCAGTGAGTAGGACTTCCCTGCAGAGGTTATATACGCGTGGCCATGTGAGAGCATTCGGAGAGGGAGAGCGGACTCTCCCCACTCTCGGCCGTACCAGGGCATTTATAACCCTCCAGGTAACTTTAGCATAGCTCAAAGGTCGTCCATAAATTATAGTCTCACTGTATATCACTATTATTTCCGAGGATCCTGTTGTTTTTCAACCCATGTTCTATGTTTTTCAGTCTTATTGTCACAGTAAAAGAAGCAATATAAAATATACCTCAAAGCATAGGTGTTTGACTGATATAGTTTCTTCAATATTTTCATCCGATATGACTTAGTTATTTGTAAACTAACGACTATCAACCTTAAGTGGTGAATACATGTTCTGATGTCTGATAATTTTAGAGATGTTAGTGGTCGTATGCCTGAAAATAGAGTTCACGCGTGACCTTGTCCTAAATACTTAATTGACAAGTAAGCTTTACTTATTGACCTGTAATGTGGCAGTCTCATTTTCATTACTGTACCAGAGGACAGCTTCATTCACCATGTTAGACAGTAAGTCTGGGGCTGCACTTATCCAATGAGTAAATTACGTAGTAAGCATTGATTTGTTTTAATTACTAACGTCCAAAAGTTTCATTTTCATCACGTTTATGAAACCATATTTTCCTAATATATCTGAGCAGTTGATTCCACTGAATGACTACTTCTAAGCGTCTTTACAATCTTGCCTTAGAAAAACTGATTTCCTTTTTACATTTGTCCCAATGTGCGTCCTGCGATTTCACGTATCTATTTTTACTGAAACATTTACGATCCGAAATTAAGTGGGATTGCTGCTTAAACGTACATTTCTATTCCTATCTGTGTAACTAGCAGTGGAAGTCTAATTTTCGTTTCTTCGTCTATATAGTGCGATCTCAATTATGGAAGAGGCCAGAGCTGTCCTGAAGAAGAAAGATGCCATTCTTGAACACCCGTCTATGCTTGCAGAAGCAATTGATTGGTAGCTTTGAAACTTTATAACCGAACGGATTTTTAGCATCCGATATAATAACCCACAAACTGGGCATAACGAGGCAGAGGAGCTTTTAGTGGAGAGCTATCAGGGTGCAATCGAGTTTCTGTTTGAACTGGGGACTTGGCTCACCTACATTGGTAAGACCTTTTCAGAATACTTCGCATTCGTTCGGTTAGATGAAGATGCTCAGTCTACTCGTAACATAATTGAATCAGTTGTCAAGGAAGCTATTCTTCAAAACTATGATCGTTCCAAAGCCATAACATGTTTAACAGACGAAGCTTCAGCCGTTAGTTTTCTTGGTCATTACCTAACATTTCGAAATTCAGGACACCATGGAGTGGCTTAGTCAAATGGTCGAATCTCCAACTTGGCGTCAAACCATTTATAACCTAGCTCAGCATCCACGGAACGAAGATTGTCCTTTTTTATCACTATCTATGCCGTGTATAGCTGTAAAAGAAAGTCTCATTGGAGAACTCGTATCTGTTCCTCTTGCATGGAACACTCTAGGCATTTTCTTGAAGTGCGTTATCTATGTTTTACAGCCATTACTAGCTGCCGGTGATACAGTTAAAGATCAGACGTTTATGTACTCCATTGCATTTTTACAGCCAAAACGGAATAATGCTTCATGTACCAATTATTCTAGTGTTTCACATTCAGAAATGAGCATGGTGAATTCGGAATCGCTTCCATCTATTGATGACGTTAAAGGTTTTGTTTCCGCTGTCGATAACGAACATCAACCATACTCATCGGAAGGAGAGTCTCACTTTTCTTTTGATACTGCACAAGATATGTTAACCCACTTTTTGGTAAGTTAATACACATTTCAGTCTTTTTTGTAAGCAGAGCAGTGTCTTAGCTGTAAAGGCGTTCATTTTTTAAGCATTAGGCTGTTAGAATAGTACAACTATCCCTTTTATATTCTAGGTAGTTTGTCAACGCAGTGACGGTACTAATTTTAATCTCACAGCACCGAAGTGATGTGTTACGGCTTGAATCACTTTACGTTGGGACTAGATGCCATCCCGCTATTGTGTTTGCCTGTTCTATCCACAAATGTGTAGAGTTCGTTTTCTCTTTCCTATTAAATGACGAATATCAGATCCTTAATTCATAGATGATCATGTTAATAAAAAATGTACTAAGACAGAACGATTTACCATTAAATAATGGTTCGAGTGAAATTTTGAGTTAGTATAATAACTCCACCTTACCACCATGGTGCAACAAAGAATGTCTAAAGAATCGCAAAACTACACAGAATTAAAGCATACTACGAAACAACTAGAATCCCTCGAAATATTCTAATCCATAAAAATGATAAGATTTGCTTTATGTCAACACAAAATTGTGTCTACAAACTAAAATTTTCTTATTGTGATGCTTTCTGGATTGGAGAATTGTCTCGTAAAATAACTCAAGTCAAAAACATCTGAGATACACAAAGAACTACTTATTAATCCTCAAGAACCTTCAAAACTCCAAATTAAATGGACAATTGCAGTGCATGCCATCTTCAATAACCTTTAAGTCAATATTTAAAATATCAAACTTATACAAAAAGCTTCTCGATTACAAAGAAAGCCTTGTGATCTATCAGTCTTGAATCATCGATAAAATCTACTATATTTGATTCTATTCATATCTCACATAAGAATGCAACCCTACCTTTTTACATAGCAAATACGCAAGCGTTTCTCACAAAGTCATCTTGACTAGAGCGACATGATATTGGCTTAATCAGATTTGCTTCTGGATCGTACTAAATATTTTTGCTTTGTTTCTTTGTAATAATTTAAACTCGTTTTAATTTAATTTGTTCATTTATTCATTCTGTAAAGAAGTGGCTTACGCTGAGTCACGAAATGCTAGAAATTTTGTTTTCTACTTACTGTGACACTACGAATATACTGCTACTTTTATTATTAACAATCTATTGAATGCACAGTTTATTTAACAGTACCAAGTAAAAACCTTAGTAAGAATCCAACGTTATCCTTCTCCTTTTCTTGGCATTCCTTTCCTGTGTCACAACGGAACTGGACAACGTGACCCAATATATTGCTCGTCTCTTGTTCATCAAAGTTGGTTCACTGCAATTGTTTTAAGATTCAGTGAAGTATCTTATATTATATGAAAGCCATGTGAAATATTGGGTGTTATGTAGGATTACTCCTAGTACACGATTTTTAATAAGTTCTTAATAAGTAGATAAGATAGGGTTGGATGGTGAGTTCCCGTATACTTTCTAATAATGTAAGGTAACAACTTTTATTAGTACTAAGGGTTTCACTTGTTTCTTAAACATCGGTTATTTCGCAAAACGTCTCACCGTTAAAATATGCTGGTAAGTCAGATGTAGTCAAAAAAGAAATGGTAAGTTTGTAATACATTACTTAAGTCTGTCACCATTCTATAATAGTGTCAAAGCACTTTTTCAAGGTTCTAATATGTATTGAAATTTTCTCATGAAACAAGATACCCTTGTTATCTTTATATACGACGACAGTCCTTTCTAGTCGGTTTCCCTTTTCATATACTTACAATTGCTGCCTGTTAATAGTACTGTTGCATTTAAATGGACTTTTTTCTTGTTGAGTGTAATTACTGTAAAGTTTGAATTGAAATGTTTGTTAACTTCATGAATACTTCTACTTTTATTAGGAAATGGGTTGTCATAGTGAACATGGATATTTACTCTTGCAATCTATCTTGCAGTGTTTGGCTCGAAAAATGAAGAGCCATTGTGCTCATCATCTTATTTGGCTTTTGGAAGCTGAAGCAAGTCGAAGGTTCTGATAAGTTTGATCCTGTTTTCAATTTTAGTTACAGTTTTTCATGTGTCAAACTTTGAATCGTTTATCATAAATTAGTAGATAGTGAAAGGTTTTTGTACTAGGGTTTTAGAGTTAACTGATGCTAGTAATAGTAAATTTTCTCTCTGTAGATGCACGATTGTTTGAAAGTAAATTAGATTTACTTTTGAGATGCGAAAACCCACTCTTACGTTCATAGAATTTTATTTACTTCTGTAAGTTGGGACCGGTTAAAGTTAATTTCCTTATTAAGTTACTTTATCTTTTCGTATTATTTATTATTTATTTGAACACATAAATATTGGTACAAGAGAGCGCTAATATATATGCGCCACACAAAACAATGAGAATCTAAGGGGAAGGAAAAGAAAAAAAAGAGAATAATAACGAAGAGATTGATGTAAGGTGGTGTAATAAGAACAATGGTAAAAATGGGGGAACCGAAAGGTACAATCAGAAGAAATCTTTCAGGTAAGGAAGACACAACCACTTTTTATGAAGAAAGTAAAAGAAGGTTACAGCAGGATCGCCACTGGCTTCTATTCTGAGCCATATCTGATAACGTCTCTAGCCACTGTGTAGCACCATCTCTCGGACCCCAACCAGGGAGTCGTGAAGGACCAACACAAGCCAGTCCTTTGCAGCTTTCTTTCATGCCACGACACCATGTCATGCACTGACCACCTCTCCGCTTCTTCCAACCAGTCCCAGAGTCGGCAAATAATGCACGACGTGGAATTCTCTGGGACGACATTCGGAGAACATGTCCAAGCCACCGAAGTCGGTGTTTCAAGATGGTGACACCAATTGCATTATCATCTCTGTGCCCGAACACACGATGCCGAACCTCTGCATTACTGACATGGTGTTGCCACTGAATGTCAGCAATCCTTCGGAGACAGCGATGATCGAACACAGAGAGTCGTCTAACGTCCTCAACTCGGAGAGGCCAGGTTTCACAAGCATAGAGCAAAACTGCTCTCACCGACGCGTTGTAGATCCGACCTTTTACAGCCAGACTAACATCACGAAGGCGCCAAAGGTGGCCCAGATTGGCATAAGCCGCTCTGGCTTTCACTATTCGTGCATTGATCTCATCACTCACACCCCACCAGCACTTATGCAGCTACCCAGATACACGAACTTCTCGACTACGTCTATCTGCTCACCATCCAGGGTGAGTACAGGATTAGAATCCTGCCAGTCTTGTAGAAGTACTTTGCACTTCGAAGGTGCAAAGCACATACCATACCTACGGACACTGATTGCCAACTGATTAAGTGCGGATTGCATGCCTTGGGCATTATCGCACAGTAAGACAATATCGTCCGCATACTCAAGGTCGAGAAGTCTTTCTCCAGGCAACAGATCCACACCACCATTACTTACATTCATCAGAGCTGTTTCCAGAATGTCATCGATGGCAAAGTTGAAGAGGAATGGTGAGATTGGGCAACCCTGCCTAACCCCACTGCTCGAATGGAACAATGGAGAGAGGTGGTTGTATGCCCTCACTCTGCCTGAGGTGTTTTTATATAGGGCTTTTAGGATGTTAATAAACTTCTCAGGCACACCCTTCTTCAATAGACAATCCCAGAGAACAGTCCTGTCCAACGAATCGAAGGCAGCCCTGATGTCAAGAAACACTACGATTGTTGGCCTTTGATAAGTATGGCGGTGTTCTAACATTTGGCGGAGGGTGAAGATATGATCAATACATCCTCGACCAGAACGAAACCCAGCCTGCTCCTCGCGAGTCAATCTTTCTCGGGTTTTGAACAACCTACGAAGTATGACGGAAGCCAATAGCTTGGACGCAATCGGAAGTAGACTTATCCCCCGATAGTTGTTACAGGAACGACGTGAACCCTTTTTAAAGATAGGGACAACTATCGACTCATTCCATGACGTTGGTACACTCTCTAGTTCCCAAACCTTTGTAAACAACGTCGTCAATTCCTTAGTCAAAAAGTCACCACCATCTTTAAAAAGAGCCGGAGGTAAGTCATCTGGGCCAGGTGATTTGTAACGCTTCAAGAGTTGGAGTTCCTTGCGGACTTCCTCCTCATTTGGTGGATCAGTCGTCACCGGCCATGGAGGGCAGGACAGTCTGACCGATGTTGCCGGAGCAGCAGGCCAGTTGAACTGCCCTTCGAAAAATTCTGCCCATCGTCCAAGACGTCGATGGATGTTAGTGATTGGCATCCCATCATCCTCGCAGATTGTTTCACTCACACCAGACTTCTTGCTGCCAGTGGCTCGGATGAGTTGGAAGAGCTTCCGGTAGTTACCAGATGCAGCTGCTGCTTCCAGCTCATTAGCACGCATCGACCACCAGGCTTCTCGGTCCTTACGCAAGCTTTGCCCAATTTCCTTACGTAACATCCTTCGTTTATGGTCAAACTCACGGTCACCCGGAGTAGACCGACGGGCTTCAATGAGTTGTAAGGAACCAGAAGAAACCCAGTGCTTAAAGCGGGACGTTTCGCAAACCCACAACTGACTGTTCCCGCCATTTTCATGGCGTCATGCAATTGCAACCAATGCTCATCTATACTTTTCGGTGGAGTGGTAGCTAGCCTAGAGGCTAGCTCGGTTCGATACTTACTTGCAACAGAAGTTGCAACCAGCTTGCTAACATCAATCCGTTGATGGCGGTCACTTCGTTGTCCACTGAAAAGTAAGGCAAGATTGGCGCAGACCAAGGCATGGTCAGAGTCCAGATAGGTACTCCAAAAGGAGCGGCAGTCTTGTACACAACCACGCCAGCGGTAGCTGATCGCGATGTGATCAATCTGAGTCCAGGCTTGAGATGCAGAGGGAGGACGCCAGGTGGCACATCGGCGATGACTGTGCCGAAAGTTAGTGCTAGCCAGAAACAGGTTGTGGTCTGTGCAAAGTTGCAGTAGACGGTCCCCGTTATCTGACCTGCGACCAACGAGTCCCCATCGGCCACCTAAACGACTCTCTTCTGTGCCTAGACGCCCGACCTGAGCATTCAAGTCTCCGGCTAGTACTACAATATCTGTCGAACGCACTTTCTGGAGAAGAACAGATAACTGGTGGTAAAACTCATCCTTGATTGCATCCGGGCTGCAATCTGTCGGGGCATAGGCGGAGATGACGAAAAGACATCGTTTCTCACGCCGATTTCTTCTCACTTTGATGGAACTTTCTAATCTAACAGCACATAACCGACTGTTAATGGGGATCCAATCGACTAGTGCTGCCTCAGCTCTAGCGCTTAGTGCGACACCAACGCCAGCAAGACCAGACGAAGATGCCACAGGGTCCCCGGATAAGCGCACGTAAAACAAGCTTTTCGAAGCGACAGATGGAGATCGAATTTGTAGTACTTCGCCAGAGTCTTGAATACGGGTCTCGGATAGACAACACATCGATATTAAGACTTTCCAAAGACATAGCCAGCCCTATCTGTTGTCCGACCTGCATAAATGTGCGAACGTTGAAGGCAGCCAGTTTGAATGGTGCACGTGGTTTCAGAAAAACTGCTTCAGTCTTCGTATTCGGTGGTAACATACAATTTTCAACCGGACAGTGACTCGAGAACGTTTAGATACAGTCGAATTTCCACCAAAGACGAGCCGCTGTATAAGTATAAAAGAGGGTGAATAATGTGGAAATAATAATAATAATAATAATAATAATAATAATAATAATAATAATAATAATAATAATAATAATAATTTAAATCATTTGATTGTTATTCGAAGCGAGAAAAGTAGTTTCCATAGATATAGAGAGTTCATCATTTGCGTGTGGGCTGCGATACTGCTCGGGTGCCCAGACCGAAGCAGGTGGTTATCTTAGGGGGCCACACCCCGAGCCCTTGACCTAAAGGTCTAACCCACAAGGCAGTGGAGCATCGTGAGGAGATGCAGTCCCATGGTAGCCGGTGACCAAAAATTGGTTCATACGCCGTTTGTTCCCGCAGGATACTGGAGCCCATGTGCACCATTGGTTTGAGATCCGGTTAAAGCGCCGAACATTCGCTTTTCATGCTCTCATTTTCGTAAAAAACACCCCCGTCACGAGAAGGCAATGAGTAGGACTTCCTTGGCAGAGGCTGTATACGCGTGGCTATGTGAGAGTATTTCGAGAGGGAGAGCGGACTCTCCCCACTCTCGACCATACCAGGGCATTTGGGGGCTTACCGGAGAGGCCTTTGTAAAATCTCCAAATTTCTATAAATTACTATTTCAACCTTTCAGTTGATCAAATGAAAATTCAAATACATTATTAATTTTACAGTTATTTGTAGGAATAATGACGTACAGCGGTTGTTTAGAACCACTAAGTCCCAGGTTCGAACCCCTCCGTACCTACGTACTTCGGTTTGGGCAGCCGAGTGGTGTTATCATGTCTCGCACTTAGAATGTGGCTCATTCACAAGTATTTAACGGTCAAGCTACCCTCCATTCCCAGACAGTGTGAATGGAACATTGAAGTAGGTCCCCCAACTCTAGCTGGAGTTCAAAAGGCTATAGTTAATCTAAAACGAGTAAGGGCAGCTGGTCTAGATAGATTGGCTCCAGAGATATCCGTCTATCAATAAAAGGATGAGTATACTGCGCGGCAGTTCGTTCTATTTTACTTTACGGTTGCGAAACGTGGGCATTAAGAGTTGAAGACACTCGTAAGCTACAAGTATTTGATCACAAATGCCTTAGAAATATTGCTTGCATCTGCTGGGATCACCGGGTAAGTAATAGTGAGGTTGGACGCAGGCTATTAGGGAATGATGGTAAATCAGTAGATGAGGTTGTTAATCTTCATCGACTGAGATGGTTGGGTCACATGTTGCGTATGCCTGAACACCAATTACCACGACGTGCAATGCTAACCGGTGTTGGAGATGGTTGAAAGAAAGTTAGGGCAGCCAAACCAAAACGTGGCATCACTGCTTGAAGTCACTAACTTCTGGTCTAAGCCATGTTGGTAGATGCAGACTACTT